AACCGGACAATAGTGGCACGTGGAACGAAACAACAGTCGTTTAAATAACCGAATTTCAAAGCGAAAACAGGGACGCAACATTTGGGAAATTACTAGCCACCGCGGCGGTTGTTGTTACGATCCGATCCTGTTTCATTTGCAAGCGTAATTGTATAGAGCGTAATTTCCCTCGATCGATTGACGCTCGTTTAATTAATTGCTGTTATCTAATTTCATCGGTAACCGCCGACTTTGTCTGCGTACTTTTTTTTTTTTTTTTTTTTTTTCTTTCCACACAACTCGGCGTGACGTTCGTTCGAATTTATAAATTGTTTTCGTTCTTGAGCACGGATTGCTGTTTTTCCAACAAAATATCCACATCGATTGGACGTTGAAACGTGAGGGGGGGAGAAAGAAAAAGCGAACGTCTCGCATGCATTCGCAGCAAGAATTAGCCTAATGTCGAGTCGCATTCGCAAGAATGTACTCAAGTACATACGTGATGTCACTAAGGCTTCGAACGCATGACGAAGCACTATTCACAATGAATATGGTCGCGCTACGTGGTCAGCGCGTAAAGAGCTTCCATTGAATGCAGTTGCATGCGGTTTAATGCAGTTCCGCATGCGATGATACGATCAATATTCAAAGTGAGTTCGAATTCAGGCTGATTCTCCACGGAACACGGCGATCATCGATTCAGAATGCCTCGCGAAAATATTCGAACGAGTTAACTACATCAACGAGTTAACTATAAAACAAGTTTCGTACGTACGTAACAGATTTTGAAATTGATGAATTTTTACCAACACGCTCATACATGGGAGAAACACAAAGAGACATGTGGATTCATACGTCTTTCAATGTATAAAAGAATAAAATTAAAAAATAAATAAGAAATTTGATATAATGACAAGGTAGTGATTTGATGAGGGAACGAGACATGAAAATATTTGGGCCGTGCGAAAGATTTACATAGAATACTCTGGCACAAAACATGTTAACATTTTAACGAGAGATGACCGAACGTGTGTACATAGAAGTTATACATAAGGTTAGTGAAAAATTAGTATAAAAGCATGTAATAAATGTTAAAAATGATGCTACTGATTACTGAGATTGTAACTGTTGAAATACTTTCTTCTGATCTCTGTGAAATGTGCACTGGTTTTCAATATCTTGTAATTTCTAATAAATATTTTTAAATTCGTTGCAACCTGAACGTCACTAAAATATTAGTGAAATTATATATATTCATGGAAAGTCTTTCCACGCGATCGAATATTTTCTCGCAACTCGTATATTATCGTTCATTTTTATTACGCGAAAAAACGTACGAGGTGGTACGTGTCACGGTACACGATGCAAAAACTACGCATGACGTTCAGCCAACATTCAATAGCTCGTTATCTCGAAAAACAAAATGCAAGACATTGCTCAATCAGTAAATTAAAAGATACCGAAAGTATACCAACTAAGAACCTCTTGCACCGTGTACTTCTAGCATTTCCAGAAGTTCATTGATCTCACGTAGATTCGCCACAAATACTACGAGACCGTTCCATTTTCATCCTACACAGCTGCGTACTCCGCAGAAAACACCGTTTAACGCCATCATCTTTTTTCATAAAGATAAAGATAACAGATACGTTTATAAAGCTGTTCATGGACCAGGAAGAAAAAGTGTTTTTCTTTTGTGTGTACAGTGAAATTTAAAAATAATCGCGACTACCGGAATATATTACTTATCACGATTAATATTAATATTTATTTCATTTATAACGAACGTGTAACCGCGGTTTTCGCGTCCTCGTATCAACGATAACACTTTGAGTTTCACTGGCGAAACATGGAGGACTAAGCTTATTCGTCAAATCGTTTCACTATAAATTTCAAAAATTTGATTACGATACGCGGTTGCGTTATCACGCGAACTTCCTCATTTTTCTCTTCTCTTTTTTTCTCTGCGGAAAAGAAAGAGTCGCTATAGGGGACGAGACGAGAAATCGTAATTACGTAAACGTAGAAAGATAATGTTATAACTTTGAAACGAACATATTTATGGCATCTTTTTAATCGAACTGTAACACAGCCATTATGTGATTAATGCTACGATTACAAAGCGAACATTTCGCTCCGTTTGGTTACATACACAATAACGTTAACCCTGATATGTTTATCAGTTGTTTCCATTCAGAGTATTATGCGAAAAGAAATGCTCGAGCAAAACAAAACTTCTGGCAAATGCAGGATATAAATGATCGACGAAACCTTCCACTAACGATTTCTATCGAAAAGTCGCCTAAATACAGAGTGGCGCAAAAGTATTCGTTTAACGCTTAAAAAAATAGTGCAAGAACTTTAAACAACAATAAACAATAAGTTGCGAATTACAAACTCTATTTGCGTTATTTGGAATTAGAAACTCTAAAATTTTCTTTACGATCTTAGAATCATTCTACGTTCAAGCTATGAAATTTTGCGGTTTATTACCTTTTGCATTATTTTGTAGAATTGATAATATCTAAAATATAATCTTGATCAATTCTAAAACGTGATACAAAATTTTTATAAACTCCAAAATTCTCTACTAACGTGTCTCTGGCATTGATATAAAATACATGGGTATTTTGTATTGTTTTGCAAAGTAGATTCAAATTCCAAAATTTACCAAGATAACGTTATTTTTAGACGTTATTTACTTCTACATTTACAAGATAAGAGCATTTTCATAAATTCCAGTGTTTCTTTGTCGTTTAACATGTGTGTCCAATAGATACAAATTCCAAAATACGTATACAAAATTTACAAGACATTACATTTCTACAAACTCCAAAATTTTCATACGAATCTTAAAAAGGCTGTTCCCTTAGTATAGTTGCGTTATTTTCTATTATTTTGTGTAAATTTCAATTGTCAACGTCAAAAGTCCAACATCATTCTTTATAAATTCAAAAATCTAACTCAATCTTTAACATTGTTACGTCATTTTTATAATGTCTTATATAACAGATGCAAATCTCCCCCCCCCTCTCCCGGTGTTATGATAAGAAATATCACGATAGAAAATGCAGACAATGTTTTGTTACTATATATCGTGATTCAAAACAAGTATTAACACATTCGAGACGGCGTCGGTCCCTGCGGACCGACGTCCCATTATTTTTGACCGGTGTCGGCCCCGCGGGACCGACACCTACAATATTCGTCCAGTGAATGGCGTATCGAATCTGATGAATACTTGATTTTTATTAATATAAAAAACACACGTAAAAAAGGTATAATTTATATAACGAAAAACACATGTTCGGCTTCATCTGAAATGCGTTAACGCGCTATCTTTTGAACAGCTTTGGTACGCGTGCTCTTCGCGTGCCAAGACCGAGTCTTGACTGTCGTTTGTTCAATTGGAATTCGATGAACAAACATTGGATAGTTGGTATGACTAATACGTATGTACGACTATCAGTAAATAAATTTAGAAACTAATCCTAGTTGGTATTGACCTTCGTCACCACCAACTATACACACACACATATATATATATATATATATATATATATACAAGTATATAACAGCGATAAATGTGGACGTACCTTAACGCTAGAGCGACCAAACCATCACAACAAACCATCCATCTACATAACAATTTCAACGATAAGCTGACGAATCTCGCGTACGCGAGTAACAATCTTTCCAACGTGTTAGGTCTCTCCGGCTGAACGTTTCTCTTCGTACGGCAGATCGAGCGAAGAGAGGATAGCTCGCGAACGAGTGGGAGTCGAAGATGATAAGGGGCCCCTGGTGGGGCAGCATCTAGAGGGGGCAAGGATAAAGCTACTACGGACTGACCTGGTTCGTGGCAGTGTTTGTGCCGGTGCAGCCTCGTGAGCAAACCCGTCAGAGCCGGGTCTCGTTGTTCGAGTATCGTTCCTCCCTTTCGTTCGTTCACGTTCTTTCCCTTTTCTCTCGCGGAGACACACACACACACACA